GAAGGAAGGAAGGAAGGAAGGAAGGAAGGAAGGAAGGAAGGAAGGAAAGAAGGAAGGAAGGAAGGAAGGAAACAATCACTTCTTAAGCATGTGTACCAGGCATTCTGGTAAGTGCTTAACAAATAATATCTCATTTAATCATCTGTCAAATTACTTAATTTGATAATTGGTAGGAAGTCCCTTCGCAGCCTTGGAGTCCATACAAGAACAAACAAGTTGCTTTTAGGTAGCTGTTTTGCAAAAAACAAACTCATCCTGCCTTTATCTCTCTTCTCTCTCCTCCCACCTATCAGCTCCCTCCTCCCACATTTTCCCTGGTTCTGGAGAATGTCTGAAAGACCTCAGGCTCCCACTGCTCCCCCTCCACCCCCCACCCAGGACCCAGGAGTCTAATCAGAGGATTGTGAAAGGCAGGCTTCATTCCAGATGAACCACCTGGGGAAATGAACTGCCTCCCCCTCTACTCTGGTGCCTTCTTTTTCTTTTCTTCAGCAAGGAGTGGTGGGAAGAATGCCGATTTGGAGCTGGAGCCCTGTGCTCACATCTTGCCTCTGCCACTCACTGGTTGTGTGACCCTGGGCAAGTCACTAAACCTCTCTGTGCCTCAGTTTCCTCATCTGTAGAATGAGGATTTGATAGCCTCTGGTTCCCCTTCCAGCTCTCAGTTTTGATCCCAAGAAGTCTCTTCACTACTCCAGGCACGTCTGTCCTCAGCTGTAGAATAGAGTGTGGAACAAGGTGACCTCCGAAGTGACTTCCACCCCTAAAAGCAGGATGTTGTGTCCTGGCCCCCTGCCATTCCCTTTCATGGTTGAGGCAGAGGTGAAAGGTGAGTCCTTGGAGAGGATAACATCACTTAGCTCCAATCAAAAGATGAGGATCCTTTATGACTCATGAACCAAGGCCACCTGGCTGTCCTCATTAGTCCTGGTGGGGTATGGGAGGATTTGACCAGACCATAACGCTCTTTGGCCACATACTTTTCAGAAACTAGAAGACACAGTCCTGAGCCCAGAGGCCAAAAGAGAAGACAGAACCCTGACGGTCCAGGGCGAGGGCGGACAGACCACACCTACACCTGTGCCCGCCAGGATTCGGCAGATTGTTACTGGCAGTCTGGTGGAGGACCCCCTCCAAGGTAATAAGTGGGAGGTCTCCTGGACCTAGGGACACAACCTTCCTACTGTACCATTCCACCCTGACCAGTCCCCTTCCTGGACATTCCATCTCTCATCCATACCTTTCCTTGGTCAGTCCCCCCTTCCCAGAATGCATTCCCCCTTCCAAGCTGGGGTGCTTCACTGACCCAAGCGCTACCACCTACTCAAAGCCTCTCCACATCCCCCCAGTGGGCATACCCTCCCAAAAAACCACTTTGTATATTTTTGCATTGACTTGTCTGTGGACATGTCTTCCACAGCAAAATGTAAGCTCCTTGAGGGCAGGACCTGGTTCAGTGTTGTCTCTGCATCCCCTTTTTCCCGGGCAGTGCCTGTTACTAGTGAGTGCTTAAGAAATGCTTATTGAATGGATGGATAGTCAATAAGGATTTATTAAGCACCCACTGTACGCCAGGCAAATGCATGAGATCTCACAGATTATAGGAAAGTTCCCATGAACTCACTTATGTAGCCAACCAGATTAAAGAGACAAACAGGGAAACAGAGTCAGCTCTGCAGTTTGACAGTTTATCCCGGGATGGCCCCAGGGCTGCCAATCCTCGAGGGAATTGCATTTGTCGTGTTTGAACCAAATCTCCCTCATGCACCGTCTTGCCGCTAAAACCTAACCCTGTTAGCAAACGAAATAGGAAAAAAAACAGTCTCGTGTCAGTGGCCAATTTGGCTTCAGTCCGTTTGTTTTCATGTCTCTGCAGCCTTGGGAGAGGCCCCTGGGGAATCCTGAATCCCAGGCTGGGTCATGGTGGTTCCCCCCACCCCCATTAGTCATTTATGTTTGACTCATTCCTCTCCAGGGCCTCTAGACACAGTTTTCACCACCCCACCCTGACCCCCAGGGAGACAAAAGACAAAGGCCTCCCGGCCAGGATCTTCCTGGTGTCTGAAGGCCCAAGTTGTTCAGAAGTTTGCTTCTAATGCAGGGGTCTGAATTCAAAGGCAGAACTTTTACCTGCCCCAGAGACGAGGACAGAGCACTGCAGGAAATGCTCTCCACCTTCTTCTGGCTTGTGGCCAGTGGTGCATCCATCCATCCATCCTCTCTCTGTCATTAGGCCTCCGGGAAGCGCCTTCTGGAGTCAGCCTGCAGGAAGAAAATCAGCTCTTGCAGGATGAGCTGTCGAGGCTCGAGGACCTCTTGGCCCAGACCCGGGCTGAAAGGGATGAGTTTGCCAGCAAACACCATGCGGTCAGCGAGAGGGTAAGAGAACACTCCACCTGAAACCCATCATCATTCGTAGGGAAAGAAGTTGGGGAGGGTCAACTCTCTGTCTAACCATGTCTTCTTCTGATTCCTAGACACACACAACTTCAGTCTGGGAGAGATGTTAGAGGTCATTATTGTGATGATGATAATGATGATGGTGATGATGATGGATGAGGAAACTGAGGCACATAGAGGGGAAGTGGCTTCCCTAAGGCCACATGGCTAATTCACGTCAGAGCTCAGCCCAATTCTCCTAATGCTTAGCCTAGTGTGTTGTCCATCACGTCTCGGCGTCCCCATATCTTTTCGGAATATATTTTATTGATGCTTTGGTCTGTCTTCATATCACAATAATTGGGTGTTAGGAGGAAGGGGAAAAGCCTACCTCTCCCCTCTCTGGCTTGAGCCTGCCCCTGTGACAAAGAAAAATCATTAAGCAAAATATAGCAGCCAGAGATGGAATCTTACAAAGTTGATAAAACTTAATCCTAGTAATTTCTGCCGTAAGGATGGAGAAATGTTTCATTATTATTTCTCCGGGACTCAAAATGTTTTTTTCAGTCATTGAACAGTTCTCTTTTTTAAATAAAGGTTTTTATTAACATTTTCTGTTTCTTCCATCACCATAGTATCCCATGTATCCTTCCTCTCCCCCTCCCCAAGAGCCATCCCATACAACAAACAGTATTTTTGGAGAGGAAAAAACAAGTCAGTGCATTGGAAAAGTTCAAAAACTTGTGCAATGTGTAATCCCTGTGGATCCCCCACCTCCACTGACGTGGGGGTTGGGGGTGTCCTCTCATCTATCTTCATTCCAATCCTGTTTGATCTTTGTAATTTTAATACATTCACTCTTGACTTTTTGGGTGTGTTGTTGTTCCTTCTAATTACGTTGTAGTCACTGTGTATATTGTTTTCTTGACTTTGCCGACTCCACTCTGTATCAGTTCATGTAGATCTTTCCATGCTTCTCTGTGTTCATCACATGCATCGTTTCTTTCATTACAGTCATATTCAATGACACTCAATGCACCACAATTTGTTTAGCCATTATGGGCATTAACTTTGTTCCCAATTCTTAGCTACCACAAAAAAGGGCTACTATAAATATTTTGGAGCATATGGGCACTTGTTCTTTTCGATGACTTTCTTGGGATATAAGCCCAGTAATGGAATCTCTGGTTCAAAGAATGTGGATATTTTAGTCACCTTATTTGCATAATTCTAAATTGCTATCCAAAATAGTTGTGAAATGTCACAGCTTTGCTAACAACGTATTAGTGTGCCTATCTTTCCACAAACCCTTCAACATTGATTGTTACCAATTTGGGGTCATTTTTTGCCCATTGGCAAAGCATGAGGTGAAATCTCAGGGTTGTTTTGATTTGCATATCTCTTATAATTACAGATTTGGAGTAATTTTTCATGTGGCTATGAATATTTTTCTGTTCTTCTTTTGAGAATTATTTATTCATGCCCTTTGATCATTTATCTATTGGGGAAAATGGCTATTAGTCATACACACATACACAAACATACATATTTATTTGTTTGTTTGTTGTGTATTTATTTTGGATACCAACACTTTTCCCTTCTTACACTAGACACATTAATGTTGTCTGTGCAAAAGCTTTTGCACAGGTTTTGGGTAATCAAAGTTATCTATTGTAGTTCCCTCTATCTCTTACCTAGGTAAGAATACATCTCTTAACCATAGTTATGAGAGGTATATAATCTGTTTCCTTCTAATCTTTTTATAGTATGATTGTTAATATTAAGGTCGTATATCCATTTCTAATGTATTGTGTAATGTGGTGTAAGATGTTGGTTTAAGATTAATTTCTGGGGCAGCTAGGTGGCGCAGTGAATAGAGCACTGGCCCTGAAGTCAGGAGGACCTGCGTTCAAATCTGACCTCAGACCAAACACTTGACACTTACTAGCTGTGTGACCCTGGGCAGGTCACTTAACCCCAATAGCCTAAAAGAAAAAAAAAAGATTAATTTCTGACAGACTGCTTTCCAGTTTTCCCAGCAGTTATTTTTTTTTATCAAATAGGGAGTTTTCCCCTAGTTAACTTATGTTTTCAGCTTTTCAAAAACTGGGTTAATGAGTTCTATTGTTTCTGAATTTCCCTCGTCTAATCTACTCCATTGATCTATGTTGCTATTCTATAACCAATACCAGATGGTTTTGATGACTTCGACTTTATAATATAGTGTCAAATCTGGAAGTGTTATTCCTCTCTTCATCCTTACTTCTTTTCATCATTTCCCTTGACATTCTAGATCTTTTGTTTTTTCCAAACAAAGCTATTAATGAGCTCATCTTTGCTGATTCTCTGGGGTTTTCCAAGTAAACCATCAACTCATCAACAAACAGGGGTAGTTTTATCTCTTCTTTTCCTATCTTTATACTTTTAATTCCTTTCTCTTGTCATATTGCTATTGCTAGCATTTCCAGAACTATATCAAATAATAGTGAGGAGAGTAGGCATCTTTGTTTCACTCCCGTATTTATTGGAAAAAGTTCTAGTGTATCCCCATTGCACATGATGTTTGCTTTTGACTTTAGACAGATGTTCTTTATGATATTTTTAAGTCCCTCTATGCCTATACTTTGTAAGTTTTTTAGCACAAAAGTGTTGTACTTTGTCAAAGGCTTTTTTGCATCTATTGACATGATTGTATAGTTTGAGATGTTTGAGTTTTTCATATGATTAATTATGCTGACTGTTTTCCTAATGTTGAACCATCCTCCCATCCCTGGTATAAACCCCATTTGATCATAATGAATAAGTTCTTGGAAAAATTGCTATAGTCTGCTTGATGAGATATTGTTTAAAATTTTTGACTCAATATCCACTAATGATAGTGGCCTATGGTTTTCTTTCTGCATTTTTTCTTTCCCCGGTTTAGGTATTAGGATTATGTTTTTCTCATAAAAGGATCCCGGTAGGTTCTTTCTCAATTTTTAAGACTAATTTGATGGGGCAGCTAGTCGGCGCAGTGGATAGAGTGCCAGCCCTGGATTCAGGGGACCTGAGTTCAAATCAGGCCTCAGACACATAATACTTACTAGCTATGTGACCCTGGGCAAGGCACTCAACCCCATTGCCTAGTCAAAAAATCATAATAATAATTTGAGAATAATAAGGTTTCACCCCCAGCTTATATATTTCCTTTTCAGAGATCAGGTTATTTAAGATACCGATCTGGTCTTCTGACTGAATGTTTTATATTTTTGAAAGTATTCCTCTATTTCTTTTGTGTTCTCAATTTTTGTTCTGCATGATATATTCTAATTATTCTTTTTTATTTCTTCTAGGTTTGCTGTCATTTTACCTTGATCATTTGCTATTTTATTGATTTGGTATTTTACTCTCTTTTTAAAATCAGATTATAAACCCTTAGGGTTATCAATTTTATCTCTTCTTAAAAATAGCTTTTAGTTTTATTTATCGTTTCTATGTTTTTTTTTAATTTCTAATTTATCTATGTCCTCTCTAACTTTTAACATCTCCTCTTTGTACTTATTTTAGGCTTATTTAGTTGCAGATTTTCTGATTTTTAAATGTACATTTAATTAATCTTCTCTTTTTCTATTTTGTTAATGTATGGTTGTAATGGTATCATTTTCCACTTGAGGACTACTTTAGCTGCATCCTAGAAATTTTGGTGTATTGCTTCATCATTATTATTTTCTTAACATGGGTATTGTTTCTATGGCTTGTTCTTTGACCCACTCATTATTTAAAATTTCATTGTTAAGTCTCCATTTGGGTCTATATCTTTTGTTTGTGGTTCCTGAATAAGTTTCTATTCTTACTGCATTATGGTCCATAAAGGATGTATTTCTATCTTTTTACATTTGCTCGCAAGATTTCTGTGCCCTAGAGCAGTCAATTTTTGTAAAGGTTTGTAAAGTTACGTGGTGCAGAAATGTGTATATTCTTTTGCTGTCACATTTAGAAGAAGACTTTTAACTCTGGTTTCTCCAGAAATTTGTTACGTTTCATATTTTCCCTTTTATCCTTCTATTAGACTTGTCCAAAACTGATAGAGAGTATTGAAGTCTTCTGTCACTGTTGTTCACCTACTTGTTGTGCCACATACAAAATAATATGCCTCTTGTCTCTCCATTCACACACCCTGGAACAGGTCCTCATCACCCTTTGCCTGAACTATTGCAACATTAGTCTCCTAATTGTCTCCCTGATACAAGTCTCTCTCTGTTCCAACCCATCCTCCACTCACTGCCAAGGTCATTTGTTTCTAAAGCATAGGTCTAACCATGTCAATTCCCTGTTCAGTATGTTCCAGAAATTCCCTATTACCTCCATGATCAGGTATAAAGTCCTCTATTTGGCATTTAAAGCTCTTCATAACCTAATCCCTTCCTACCACTGTATCTGATTACATTTTACTACAGGCAGCTAGGTACAGGGGATACAGCACTGGGCTGGAAATCAGGAAGTCTCATCTTCCTGAGTTCAAAGCTGGCCTCCTTAGACACTTCCTAGCTGTATGACCTTGGGCACGTCACTTAACCTTGTGTGCCTCAGTGTCCTCATCTATCAAATGAGCTGGGGAAGGAAATGGCAAACCACTCCAGTATCTTTGCCAAGAAAACCCCAAATGGGGTCACAAAGAGTTGAACACCACTGAAAGGACTGAACAACAACACACTTTACTGCTCTTTATATACTCTCTGACCCAGCTACGCCAGGTTCTTTTCAGCTGGTCTAGTGTAACCCTTCACCTCTCCCTCTGCATTGGCTGATCTCCATGCCTGGCATGCTCTCTCTCTTCATCTCTGTCTCCTCTTAGTGTCTCTGCCTTTCTTCAAGACTGTTCTTCTGCAGGACTCCTGCAGGAGGCTTTTTCTGGAACCCTAACTGCTAATGCCTTCCCCTCTCAGATTACCATCCACCTCCTCTGAACTATGCACTGGGGAGTGAGACATGAATGATGAAAATTCACAGAAGACTGAGAA